ACACTCCTAAACCTTGTGGACAGCCTTCCCAGAAGAGTTGAAGCTGTTCTAGCTGCAAAGGGTGGACCGACGTCATATTGAACCCTATGGATTAGGAACGGGATGTCACTTGAGCTCGTATGTGAGTCAAGGCAGGTGAGCAAATACTTTTGGCAATATAGTGTATATTAAATAGGGCCATCGCGATTAATCGATTATTGAAATAATTGTCAACTAATTTAGGCATTGATTAATCGTTAAGTAAAGTGTAGAGACTAAAACATGCCTTTAGCTAAACGGCTAACCCACCTTGAGCAGCAATTGGACAAAAGTTGTAAAAAAAAGTAAATATTTTGCACTTAAGATAAAAATCTTTTTCGTCTTTCAATATGCTCGATCACTCAAGTGGAAAAGTCTTCTCTAAGAAACCCTTTGCTCTCTGATTATTAATCAATTAATCAATAAAAATAAATAGACAGATTAATCAATTTGCAAAATAATCGTCAGTCGCAGCCATAATATTAATGTAGGAACAGAAGCGGAAACTAGGATCTATATTCAACTTTGAACACAGACTTTATTGTTAAAAAGCTTTTCCATTGGAGTAAAGAAACGATTCCATTTATTCTGGTCAGCCAGTGGGGATTGGCTTTAAACTGGTAAACATCCTGCATTAACTTTCTCTTCTCCAGCCGTTTCCTCCTCCGTTCTTCCAGCATGTTTTAAAATTCAGCCAACTCCTCTCTCTTTTGTTTTTTATCTTTTTTCATATGCAAAATATCACTGATTCATTCTAGTATAGCACCACATATGCTTTTTGAGCTGAGAAATCTTACAGTGACACGATAACAGCTGGTATCTAAGAATAGTGATGGTTTTTCATTGAAAACATCACAAAAGATTTTGATTATACTCTTGCATAAATAAACAAGTTGAAATGTTTTATATTTTTATGTGTGCAAAGTATTGAGTCCATAGATTTGTCTCCTTGTTATTCTTGCAGTGTAATGGTACAAATTGCTTTACAGCAACACCTTCTGTTTAGCAGGGTGGCTTCAGTAATGCTTATTCCAAGATGTAAACAGTCTGCCAGGATATAAATGTTACTTACTGCCAATAGACGGCTAAGTTCATGAACCTGTTTAACTTCTAGTCTAATGAAGACTTCAAAGTGTGCTTACTGGCAGTAAATCACACAATCTAGGCTATCCAAATAAAAGTACACTGTGGAACTTCTGTCAGAAAGTGAAGAAACGTAGCATAAGCTTGACCCAAAAACAGCATTTAACAGAAAACAAAGGGTAAAAGGACTCAGGAAGGATAAATCACAGGAAGAATATGAAGCAAAAACAACCCTGACTGGATACGCTGGAGAGAGATTAACACAGAGATGAAATATAATCTGTCTTTCCTTCTGTTTCTGCAATATGCACATCTTGGACTGGGTCCTCATTTACAATGATTGCAAATCGCCCAAGACAGGAACACTGCTGAGTTTAGAAAACCTGCTACAGAGTTGTTGTTTTTCTTAAAAACAACAACTACATGAGGAGGTATAATACAATATAAGGAAAACTGGATCCTCTGGATGTTACGTAGGTTCAGTGGTTTACAGAAATCTGGGTTAAGCCTGCTGAGTTTCTTACTCAGACTCCATAGGCTAAATTACCAATAGGTGATTCAACAGTAAATGCAGCGACTTTATAGCAAAGCAACGCTGAACAGATTTTAGAAAGCCAAAATCCAAAAATTATACAACTAAATGGGTCAAACCCAGCTTTAGTGTTTTTGAAAAACACAGTTGAAACCCCAAGATCCTCCACTACCTGAACTCTCTTCAATAACCCTGCAGATCTATCTGTCTGTCTATCTATATATAGATCTGTGTGTGTGTTATTTTTAGGTCAAATTTTAATTTATTATAGAAACTAACTTCATTGCATCGTTTTCACAAATTAATCACAGGACTTTCTAGTCCCACAGAGGACAAAGATCAGCACTGACTGCCAAGAAGAATGAAACCAAATACAAAGAAGTGAATCTCTTCCTTTCCTGGCCAGTCTATGGCATAAAGCCGTATTCGTAATCCCTCTAATCTGGATCACACTAACTCTGTCACTGGGTCATTACTAACACAGACCTGAGCCAGGCAAAGAAAGAAAAATGTCTTTCTTTACAATAACATAAACATTTCATTTAATTTATGATCAAAGAAAAAAGCACAAGAAACAAGCTCAAATATTATTCTTTTTAGACACCAAAGATTAAATACAAATTGTAAAACAAAACAAAAAAACCTATAAGTATATATAATAACTTAAATGCTCAGTGTGGGAAAACAAAATTCAATTACCTGGTTCCAACTTTATAATCTTGACAGCAGCAAGCTCTCCTGTTTGAATGTTTCGTGCCTGAAAGAGAAGCAACAAAGATTGGAAACAAATCGACAAAGAAAAATATAAAACTTTAGCTGATATTGATGCTTTATGTTCTCATGGTGCTGAAATGTAAACCTTAAGATTGACATATAAGATTTTATTTATAAATTTTTATTAACACATTATGTGTCTTTATAAAAGTCATATACTGATATGTATGTGACTCACATTTTTACATTTAGTGGGTATTTGCAAATGCTAACAGACGATACACTGTGTGACCAGATGAAAATGGATTATTGACCAAATGCTGGTTTAAGCAGCAAATTAATCAATTCAGATAAAAAAAATAATGCTAAGGCTGTAAATGTGATATTAAGGTGAAAAGTATAAAAGGGGATTAACCAAGCCTGTTTTAAAAGGTTTTATATACATGTATATTCCAATAACCTAATACCTAAAACATAACCAATATAAAGTAATAGTCTAGATACATAATTCAACTTAAATCTATGTTCTAGTATAATCAGTTGCTCTTAAAACCACCATTAGACAGGTTTAGCCCCACTATATTGGTGGTTATCCATCTCTACTGGTCATTTACATTTCTACCAAAAACTTTATAAAAACCTTTAAAAAAGAACAAAAAGAACATTTCCAGGCTTGCAGGGCAGGATTAGTCTTAAACCTTCAAATATCTCAAATAAGCTTCCCTTTAAGTCAAATTTGTGGCAGAACTTAATATAATTTTTACTCTGTTTATATGCATAAATATTTAAAGTGTGTGTTTTTATTTCATTTTAATTTACAGGGGATAGTCTACAACTGATTCCCTGTGAAATTTCTGTGTCAAAGCAGGATGTGCGTCTTCCTAAACCAGGTCAAGACGGGATGCTCCCTAATCCGTGAGAAGTAGTGATGGAACAAGCAGCTAAATCAGCCGTAAACCACGAACCCATCCAGTGTGGTCAACTTTCATCACTCTTGTTCAGCTACTGACTTTCAACACAGGGCAAGGCTAGTCATTTCCACTTTGAAGTGCTAAGCTATGAAAGAAAAACAGCCCTTTGCAACAACAACCAGATACAAGCAAAGAAAACGGACAAAAAGAGGCATTATGTTTATGCATTGCTCTGCACAGAGATTACCAATGTGTGTTTTCATTTTAATCTGAAAGCCCTCCATAGTTCTGCTTTAAAGAGGGAGCATTTAGAAACTGCACATTTGTTTGCAACCTGTCTCACTTTACACTTCCTTAAGTCGACGTAACCCACAAAAAAATGAAGCAGGAAAGGAGAAGTTTTGAAATTAATGTTTGTGTGAGAAATGCTTTTACAACATAGTTTAAAAGAATCTGTCATGCCTGATGTCTCTGATGGGACAAAATTCAAAATAAATCTTAATTGAAAATAAATTAAATTTGTCAATTTATCTGACAAAAACGTGGATTCATCATTAGTCATTTGTTAGACAAACCTTGTTTTATTTTATTTGCTATGACTTATAAAAACAGTTTGTTCAGGCAAGAACACCTGAACAATGTTATTTTTAGACTCACTAGTTCCTTGTTGATTCAAGGTTTGACTAATGTGGAATTAGCATTACTGCATTTATTAAGATTCACTTCAAACAACAATGTCTTCCTTTTATTAAAACTAGTAAAGTGACAGGTAAACAATAGCCACAATGTTATCAAATTGTATTCGTTTCTAGTTAAACTGCTAATGTGTCTAGCACAGTAAAAAAAAAAGCAAGGTAAATTTCAATTTGCAACGACAAACTCAACTATTAATAAAAACAGAGGCTAAAGGATTTAAAATGAGGGAAATCAGCCATTAAACTAGTTTCTCAGTTGTCTTTTTCTCAAAACACAGAAATCCCAAAGCTTTTTCTGTATGGCTTATAGCATGTCCATTATGAAAATAAAAACAGGAATCCAGGAAATAAAGTGGGTTGATGGTAAAGTAAACCAGTCTGCCATTAAAAAACATTTAGATGATGAAAAGAAAAGAAATGAGTGAGATAAATCGAGGCTGCTAACTACGGATGTGCAACAATTGATGCTGCTTGCTTTGTGACAGTTTTTCCTCACAAATCTCTAGAGCCCCATTAACACTACCCCGCTGAAACCGTGCGAGCACGATAACCGGGATAACTGTGGAGTGTAAATGGAACGCAACTGAACTGGACCGTGCCAGACACCACAGAAGCGTGCTAAATCTAGTACTAGTTCATCAGTAAAACTCGGAGCCGTTCAGCTGTGGCTCGGCTCTCAGAAAACAAAGAGCATGAGCAGACCGCGTCATCTGCTTTTTCGTCAGCTGACTCATTTCGCAGGTTTTCCTTAGGCCTTACTATTCACAGATCTCTTCACCTTTCACAACACCTACTTCTTCTCAGCCTATTAACAATAAATGGCATGAAGAGCGTGCCAGAACCTGAGATGATGCCAAGACCGAGGCTCTCCTTGAAATTTGGGCAGAGGACGCTATCCAGACACATAAGTTCCTCAATGTTATGGGCGCCGCCATTTTTGTTTGCGTAATTCCTGCCTTGAGAGCTGTAGTATCATGGAGCGCCAATAGGGGGCGAGGAACCGTGCTAGCGTAATGGATAAATGTTCGTAAGGAACCAGTCGGTCCAAACTCGGCACGGATCGTTTCAGAGGGGTAGGGATCCGTTTATGTGATGACATGTTTAGCAGCCATGTTGTTTAGCATGTTTAGAGTTATGAAGTCGATTATTGCAGTTACCTACACTTGTTTATTTATAATGAAAATGATGAGACAAAGAGAGGAAATAAAAAAACATTCCTAATTTCCATAAACTGGACTTATATCCAACAAATTAAATGAGATGGGATATGTTCATGTTTTGTAAAAACCCAAAGTTCTGCCTTAGAGAGGAAGACATTACTTTTGTTTTGTGTTTTGTTAGAGAGGCTTATAGGACACATTAAGGGAACCTCTGCACAACACATGAACACATGCTTATTTGCAGAACTTTTGACAGATGAAATACTCTAAAGCTTCCTAGAGCTTCATCCTTTGGTGACACCAGCATTCCAAACTGTTTTCCAACCACCAGTGCTTTTCCTGTCAGGTGGTTCACATCTACAAAAAAAAAAAGATCTAAACAAAGAGATCCTGCACCTGTTTTCTCCAGTTTCATTGGGAAAATAAGTCAATGAACTTTGTAGAAAGCAGGAGTACAGCTTTACTCCCAGAACATCTATCTAACTGATCTACAATTAAGGCACAGAAAGGCTGCGACTTGTAGTTGTTTGTGCTCATTTAAAAATATTATTCTTTAATTTTTGATGGTTAGAATGGCAAACAGAATAAATTAACCCACGTTTTTATTTCTACTGTAGGGGAAAAAGTTCTTTAAAACTAGTATTACATTGGTATTATTCAGAAAAATGAAAGCATGTTAAAAAAGAAAGAGAATCCATTTTGTCGTGAATCTCTAGAGGGTCAGAACGCTGCTACGGCAGCCTAAACAGGGACATTTAAAAAAAAAAACTGGAGGTGTTACCGCTGTCATTTTGGGGCTGAACACACCCTTAGTGAAACGCGCGTGTTTAGACAGGGTCTGGGTCATATTTCAGCCTGCTGCAGCCGTCCGCATGTGAGCTCCGAGTGAATACCAGGCGCTACATTCCACCAGTGGTCTGTTGGGGGTTGGGGGCTGCTCGGCGAAGCTTTGTATGGAAAGGGCAATGACAGACAGCCTGTACTTTCACCTCTCGATCATACCTTTTTTTTTGTAATTTTTTGAGTTAAGGTCAACAAACAACCAAGTTTGAAAAAAATCTGATGCATCTTTGTAATGATGGATGTTTTTATCTTGGCTGTTTTGTAAATTGCAGCATTAAAAGGCTATCATTATGTGTATATGTATATATATATATATATATATGCATTTTACTGCACTAGTGGTTTGTTTTTCTGACAGTAGGCTGACAGTAAAGGGGGTATGAGAGAGGGGGCGAGTCATGCAGCAAAGGACCACAGGTTGGATTCGAACCCGGGTCGGCCGCGTTGAGGGCTAAGGCCTCCGTACATGGTGCCACCTGCACGCTCATAACTATATTCTAAATTCAGCTGGATGTTTTTCAGGGAAATTGATCCATTGGTACAATATGGGTTAGCAAGCATAGGTCCACATTAGGGCTGCAACAACGAATCGATAAAATCGATAAAAATCGACTTTTAAAAGCGTTGGCAACGAATTTCATCATCGATTAGTTGTGTCGCGCGATTATTGCGTCATCCGCCGCGCCGTCATCACTGCCTCTTGACTGAAAGAGGAAGAAAAAAAAAAAAAGGCAGAGCGAGTCAGCGCCGCAGGTGCAGTGTTGCCAACTCAGCGACTTTTCAGACCCCTCCAGCGACTATTTTTCAAAAAAGCGTTCTAGCGACAAATCTGGCGACTTTTTTCGGTGTCACTGGCGGCTTTTGGAGACTCTTACGTGAAAGCATGTATCGTTCCTACTCTGCCGTGGGGCGCCTCCCCCACCCCAACCGCGTTTTCCCGCAGGACTCCCTCTCAGCGCTGCAGTCAGCCTCAGCGTCCAGACTGCAAATGAAGCGCGCATGCACCGGGATTGATGGCGCAAATTGATCACAATAATTAAAATAGCCTGCGCTTTGTAAAGCGAAAAAAGTGATAACATGCAACTTTTTTCAAAAGAAATTAACATGGCACGGAACCACCATGTTTGTTTGGTTTTAAAGTGGGGAAACGTAACGTTAGTTTCTCAGGTAGCTCATCTGATGCTTTCCTTACCGTGTTAGTAGGTTACAGACAGGGATAAGGTTGGCTACTTATTTTACCTTTAATTTCATTTGAATTAGCTTAAGCAGCGTTTATATTTTCTTTATAAATAAATTAACTTGCAAATTATGAGGGCAAGGCTTTTAAAGTTTAAATCTTCTGGCAAAGTTAAAGTAAAGAAGATCCTGCAATTTATGGAAGTAAAGCAGAATAAAATCCAGCAAGATCAGTAATATGTCAATTAATTATATGCCACATTCCCATGTAAATATCTGTCTTTGGAGGATGTGTTTTTTACCACCCCTAGTTCTCTCATTTTTATTCCAAATACAATTTATAATTTGAATCACAGGGCTATTTTTATCTCTATGGTTCAGTATTTTCTCAAGCAGCAACTTTAACTGCTATACTTTCCTGTCTTAAAAGGCAGAACTCTTCTAGTCTAAAAAAACTAATTTGTTGAAATGGGGGGGCCTATTGTTTGAACCCCTTAGGGGCTTTTAAAAACAAAAATGTCTTTTTTTGCGCTTTATGAAACAAAGTACCCTATATTTTGTGGATGCACAGCTACATTTCTCATGTAAGTTTGCGTAGTTTTAACACAAACATTTATTTTTCATATTGCACCAGTACAGTTAATGAGCAACCTGTACTTGTGTGCTTGTTTGTTCTGTCTAAAATGTTTATTTTGGAATAAAGAGGTTAATATAAAAAATATTTTTTGTCCGATTCATCGATTAATCGAAAAAATAATCGTCCGATTCATCGATTTTTAAAATAATCGTTAGTTGCAGCCCTAGTCCACATGTTATTAAAGCTTCAGAATATATATAGAAAACATGAGCTGTAGACAACTTTGGTTTGTTTAGTGTCCTTTGAAACTCTCATGACATTTAACAAACAAAGGCTGGTGCTTAAGGTATTCGTGGTTTATCAGGCTTTGTGATATTTGTGAACTCACATCTTCTTGAACCCTCTATCCATAAGAAGTGAGAATTTCAGAGGTTATAGTGGCATTTGGTTCATCTAGCTGTCAACACTGACCCTAGACAACCACATTTAAAAAAAAATAAAAAGTGCAAAATTGTGCTGAGATTTTAAAATTAAAGAACCAGACCCATACAGAAAGCATTTAGAAATGAAAGCTTTAGTCAAAACTAGTGTCACATGTGGTCACCACATCTTCTTATGGTTTAAAAACAAACTGCACACAGATTATGCATTGATTAGCTGGATCGTTTTAAATCATCTCCAGCTCCTGTGACAGACTGAGGAGCAGTGCATTGAACCCACCTTGTACACGTCTCCATATGTTCCACTTCCCACCCTCTGAATGAGCTCAAAGTCATGCTGGGGGTTCCTCCTCTGGATTTCACCGCTTGGTCGAGGAAAAATATCCATGATAGCTTGAAACCGATGGATCCTTTACATTTAGTTGGCTTGATTAAACGGGGTGTGGGAGGCTGGCAGAACAGTCTGGATCAATGCTATTCAGACGGCGCCTGTCTGAGCTCCATGTCCTGAAGAGACACAAAGTTTAGGAAAGTCTTATAAAAGGGGTTAAATTAAAGGCTTAATCCCAATGCGCTTTAGTCTAAAAGGAAAAATAAGGGTTAAAAAAACAGATTTAAAGTTACATTCTTGAAATAAAATCTGTTAATTTTAATACAAAGGAGTGGGCTGAACTATTCCAGTCCGTAGATGTTAATATACATCGATGTTAAACAAATAACATCACTTTTAGCAGGAAAACCGTAGCCATCCTGCACATAGCCAGTGCCATCCAGCAAATAGCCAGAGCCAGCCGTTGGGTTAGCATTGGGGGGCTAACTGGCGCTAGCTAACATGCAAACGTTAACTTGGCCCCCTCCGTCTGCATTTAACTTCTAACTGGGCTTACCTTTAGCAACGCAAACACACCGGCTAGGCTCGCCTTGCATTTCAGCTTCCCTCCAAGTCTTTAAATATATCGCGACGTCGAATAAATGCTTTAAAAAGTAAAACTGTTGCTCCTTTGTTGTGATGAAACAGTAGTAAAGTTCAGTTCGCTGCGACTCCAGTTTCTCCTGGTAGCGCTGCCAGCTACAGTCCACTTCACCCCCCTCTGTAATCACAGTCCTAAACCTCCCCGTTCACATGTCATTTCCCCCCGTTGGCAGCTTTAAAGAAGCTGAAACATTTCCGGTTGGATTCTACCGCCGCACCGCGAATGTAATCGATTTGTTTCAGAATTTATTTCGAGAGAAACGCTCCCCTCAGAGCAACAGTGTGCTGCTAATCCGGGCAGTTTCTACAGACTGGTGGTGCGTTCAGGGTACTACGACCAAAATGTAGATAATCCTTTTTTTTTTTTTATCTTTTTTTTCTTTACCCTATTTCTGATATCTGCGGAAGAGGATCAGGGCCAGAAAAAGAAGTTAAAATGTTAACTGATTTTTTTTTTTTTTCAGTATAATATGAGAAAAAAAGGTCAGAATTCTGACTTTAATCTTAGAATTCTGACTTTTTTCCCCCTCAAAATTCTGTCTTTTTTCTCAGAATTCTGACTTTAATCTCAGAATTCTGACTTTTTCCTCTAACTTCTGACTTTAGTCTCAGAATTCTGACTTAAAACTCCTAATTCTGACTTTAATCTCAGAATTCTGACTTTTTTCTCATAATTCTGAATTTAATCTCAGAATTCTGACTTTTTTTCCTCTAAATTCTGACTTTTAACTCAGAATTTGGACTTTTTTCTCTAAATTCTGACTCAAATCTCCTAATTCTGACTTTTTTCTCACAATTCTGACTTAAATCTTCAAATTCTGACAGCTAACAAACATGTTAGCATCAAGCCGTAGCCATTTATGTTTTAGAGACTAAACTCGCTTTCTGTTTTAATCACCTTCTGATCTTCCATTAATTAAATAGAATCACCAGGGATCCCTCAGGGATGTAAAAAGTCACCTAATTCCCTCATTTTCCACCAATCTTTTACTGTTCTACATCTACATTAAGATCCAAAATGCTGAGATTAAAGTCAGAATTCCAAGATTTAAAATCAGAATTCTGACTTTTTTCCATATTAAATTGAAATAATATTAAAAATCAGTTAACTTTTTTTTCTTCCCAGTGGCCCTAATCCTCTTGCCCTTTTTAACTATTAGTTGATCACCTGTAAAGCTTAACTTTCCAACAATCCATTTGACAGAATAATGTAAAATAATAACCTAAAATAATAATTTTAATGTAGTGTGATTTTTTTTCCCACAGTCTAACCCTCATGTTAAGAACGTTCGTTCTGAAAATAACACCAAAAAAGCCCCTTCTGGAAGTAATAGTTATTTTTCTTCAATCTTTCCATACATTTAGCCGCTATTACTATTTTCTATAATCAAAATACTTTTTAAAATGTTATGTATCTCAGTTAAATTCTGAAATATTTGTGGAAAGTCTAAAATATCAAAGGCTTAGTGACCTTTCAATTAGGTAAATATACATACCAGTTAATATGTTATTGAATTATGACTTTTATTAAAAAAAAACAAAAACAAACACCCAAATTCATTCAATGAGATAATAATAATAGGAGCCTCATTATATTAACCGAAATTGTTTGTTTATGTTGTCTTTAATGAAATTATTAGTTGAATACTGTAATTTTTTTAATCTTTTTTTATATTTGTGACGAGTTACGTGTACGCTTTAAATATTTTTAATCTAGTACAACATGTACGTTAACCGCACCTACTGCAAAATAAATGCTTGTTTTAGATGTTTTTTTTCAAATGCTGGTTTGTCAAAGCAGGTCTGAAATTTGCTCAAGGAGATTTCAAAGTGACAAACGGTCTTTGCAAAGATGTTTGCGCTAGAAACAAAGAAAAAACACTCAGGGTTGAAATGGCGAAATAAGGATCTATTTCCCTTGCCTGTGACATTTCCCTGATGTCACTGAAGGCACCATGAGTTCCAACTGTTGTACAACGCTGCCACCTACCGACAAAAACACAGATTGCACAATCAGTATTGTGACAGCAACAACAAAAAAGAATAGTTTGACGCCAAAAAGACACACCTTTAATATTTTTTTCATTTAATGCTAATATACTGCTGTAACTCTATATAGCTGTAATACTTTGTAAACTTAATTTCATTCAACAACCAGAGCTGGAACGAAAGACAGCAGCGCCCTCTGGTGACATGAGCTGTGCATTACGCTGGGAATAAAAGCACCATCATCCTCCTGCAATAGGAACGTCGTTGTGCTGGAGATAAGGGCATCCTCCCAGCTCCCTGTGCTCATGACTACCGACTAGGGTCGCTCATTTTCGCTTGACGCCGCGGGATTAAAGGACTGCATTATGGTAAAACACCGCCCAGAGAGAGACAGCTGGGGTGAGTGTACGTAACAAACATTTCATCCTTCTTTCACACATCGGGTGGGAACGATGCAGCGCTCTATTTGCTCTGTTTGTTTTTGTTTCGGGTTGATTTTGACCAATGCTGATCAGACCAGCTCTGCATCTAATGTGTTTTTCCTTCATATGGAGGAAATCAACGTGCAGCATTTGTCCTCTGCAGGCCTGCTGATAATAATTTGAATATCTAACCATAAGAGTGGTTTAATGCGGTGATTGGCTTATGAAAAAGGCCTTGCTGGGTCAGCTTGGGCCTGTAAAGACACCAAATCACCATCTGATTCTAAGTGTTTGCTCTTCTTGTTAGTCTTTGGGGTAAATTTCAGAAATCTCAGGTGTTATTTTCCAACATTGCCTTTAATGCTGTTAAGCGTGGTTCTGGTGGTGCCCAGCATCCATTCTGTGTGAGTCAAACCAGCCTGTGAGGGAGTAGATGAAGATGTGTTAGAGATGAAAAGCTGCTGCTGTTTGTAAAGCAGGGAGTTGATCTGGTCTGACCCACATAAAGCAGATTCTGACATCTTTAGCTGATTTAGGGGCAGAAGCAGAAGCAGCATGATTAGGTTGTTTGCCAGGAGAAGGGCCCCTGCAGTGGCAAACTCAACTGATGGCCCCTTTCAAGCCATATAAGAAACATTGGTTTATTTAAATAATTCACTGGGCCTTCCTGCTGGTTACTTCTTAACTTGTTACTTGGGCTTTATGAGAGATATCAAGTTTTTATTCCCGAGTCATTTCCTGGAAGACAAAGTCACATCTTTCTAGAGCGCAGGCCGGATGTCTGTGGGACACAGAGTGCTCAGCAGTACAATTCATTCACCTTTTTACCTTTACCTCACATTACAACTACAGATATCGATCCATTTTATTTTTAATAGAGTAGATTAACAACAATTCTGGCTGCATTTGAATTTAACTCCTTTTAATTTGACCCTCAACGTATGGTTTACTTAGCCGGATTTAGAAATCAGCTCGTAAACAGAGAGATTTTCTGCATGGTTTAATCTCAGGATACATTTAGCTGTTTTATGAAGGCCTAAGATGTTGGAGAACATTAGAGAACCTGCAGTGTGATGAAGACGTAGGAACAAAGCAGAAAGGTCAGGGAGAACGATTAGAGGAAGTTAAAATATGAGTGGGTTTAAAAAAGAAAAAAAGAAGTAGGCTTGAATTTAGATGATAAGAACAACCCAGTCAAAGTCCAACTCTTAATGCAAATAATAATCCTTTCTTACGTTTATTTCTTTTTAACAGGCATTCTCCTTTCAAGCTAATTTATCTTGTAGTGTTAAAGCAAAGAATTTTTGCAAACTTTTAAAGGAATAAAATCTGAGTTGCAGGAAAACAAGAAAAAAGGTTTTTAGTTGAACCATTTTGTGTCCCATAAATTCCAATTTAAATAGATTTGGGATAAAATAAGGCAAGTTGTCCAAGGTTCTGCTTGTAGCTTCGTTGCTACATGAACTAACAGTGATTGGAAACACTCAGAGCTGCTGCTGGGAAACCTTTTAGCCCAAGTGAAGCAGCGACAGATTGGAGTGATTCAGTCTAATGAATATTACTGCTTGCAAAAACGGGGTTTATCTTTCCTGCCTTCTCACTTAATGGACTGTTAAGTTTAGCCGTCATCACTGCGAAGACCTTCTGGCTCCTCTGGAATCATTTCTGTTGTCTTGTAAGTGAGATTCTTTCAGCTCACCTTGTGCTTTCTTTCCTCTCTCTGATTTGTCCTTCAGGGTCTCTGAGTGACAAAAATGTTTATGAGTGGAGCTCAGAGGAAGAGGAGCCGGATGGACGAGCCCGGCCCGTCCAGGTGCTGCTGGTCAAAGACGACCACACCTTCGAGCTGGACGAGGCGGCGCTGAGCCGCATCCTCCTCTCCGAGGAGGTCAGGGACCGAGAGGTGGTGGCCATCTCTGTGGCGGGGGCTTTCCGCAAGGGCAAGTCCTTCCTCATGGACTTCATGCTGCGCTATATGTACCACCATGTAAGTGCCTGCAAGTATGGGAGGTTTCTTAGAAAACTAAATAGTAAAATCACAATTATAGAGATTAAAGTATGCAGTTAAATGTCCCAAACATGTCATTGTTTGCTACTGTCCCCTCCTATTCTTTAAAAGAATGATATTTGATGAATTTCTCTGGATTCTGAACTTTTTTTAAAAAGATTCGTCCTTTTAAAATGTTGATAGCCTGTCTAGTTTAGTTTTTAGTCGTCGGAATGACATATCGAGCAGCGTTAAACTAACAAACTGTGACGTTTTGTTGCTCAGGCGTCTGAAAACTGGCTCGGCGACGCTAACGAGCCGCTGACGGGCTTCTCCTGGAGGGGGGGCTCTGAGAGGGAAACCACTGGGATCCAAATCTGGAGCGAGGTCTTTCTGGTGGACAAACCAGATGGTAGAAAGGTCAGAAGGATTCCTATATGCAGTTAGAAAGAGAAACTGGGAGCAAACATTAATCTGTGCAACACCTTTAAAATAAATACATTTCCATTGCAGCAGCATGATGGAATGCTGGACACTTTTTTAAGTGCATGAATTTGGTGGGAAACTAATTCAGAGGTTGTGTTTTTTTAGTAACCTTCCAGATGCGGAAATTGGCAACTTAAAGTCTCCAAAAGAAACATTAGACACCATTATATTTGCTTGTTGTTTGGGAGGAATTCATTCCTGTCTTAGCATCACATGTGGAGTTTACTAAACTCTGCTGAGGCTCTAACTGCAATTAGTTGAGCAGCAAAATCTCCAAGTAGGTCTGGTATTAAACTAAGGATGATTTCACGTCTTCTGTTGAGCACAGTGGAGGATCTGTGATGATGTGGGCCTTTTTCTTTCCCAGTTACCATGGGAACCTAATGTTACAGAAATACTGACCTGCTGGACTCGACCAGCAAACTGAGCATGGAGCATCTTTGGCTCTAAAAGTACTACTTGGATCCTGCAGGTGTATAAAATCGAGCACCTCTGTATTGAGTGGGAGCTCACATTCTGAGATAGACGGCGTACAGAATACACCAACTATGCTAGTCAATGGGGGTATGAGGGGAAACGCAGCACAGCACCGCAGGGCTCTGTGGCCGTATTAACTGGTCACATCAGCTGTAAAACAGATTCTAACCAGTGTTGCATTAAAAGCACCTCGATATGAAGACTTTTTTCCTTCCTTCTCAGAGGAAAGAGCAGGTCTGTGTGATTAAAACCTGTTAGAAACTCAGCTTTCCACAGTTGCAGTGATTTATAACAGACTACCTGGCAGCCTCACATCAGTGTCTGACCTCATAAATGCTCTCCTGTCATTTTCACGGGGTGGCCGGTCAGGGACCAATGGAGACTGAGGGGTGGCTGCAATCTGATCGGCACCAAAACCAGTTTAGTTCTGTTTACATTAATCACTCTGTACCAACAGGAAACTCAGGGTTAAGGTGCTGTTGTAGCTAACGCCTTGCTAAAGCAATTCTACTAAGAATCTGGTCTTAGTAGAACAAGCGCATGAAAAAGGTAGTGACACAGAACAATGCACTGTTAATCCTGCAGAGTGGTTTTATTCCCATATCAGAATTCTGATCAAAAGCTGCATAGGAAACCTACACTGCAAAAAATGTAAATCTAAGTAAATACATTTTTCTTAAAACAAGTGCATTTCTTCTTGAATTGAGCAGGTAAGACTCTTTGCTAATGAAATAAGACAATTTTTCATTTAAAATAAGAAAAAACGACTATAGTCTCTTACTTCAAGTGCATAATATCTAATTTATCTTATTTTAAGGTTAAAAATGCTCATTCCATTGGCAGATCATCTTATTTTCCAAATTTAAAGGAATAGTACACCCAAAACATGATTAGCCTTCATTTTCTACTCACCCCCATGCTGAACAACACTCTGGAGTACTTTTTTGA